ACTGAACTATTTTAATAGCTGAAACAGTAGTATAAGCTGTTTTGGGAGAAGGGGGGGTGGATGGGCTCGGGTCGGACGGGGCCGAGAATTCTGATAAGCTGTCGGACAAGGGCCAGGCTAGGGCCTGAGCATCTCGCGCTAGTGCCTATATTTGAGGCCCGAGCAGGGCTCTAGTTTAGACAAACAGAGCAGCTATTTGTGTGCTTTGGAGGTCGCTCTAAAGGGCTGCCGGTTACAAAGCAAAGACTATCTCACTAGATAGTGGATGCTTTAGCCCTGGCTTATCCCTCAGCTGACTTGCAATGCCCTACAGGTGTGAGGACCCATTCCACCAGAGGAATGGCCTTCTCCTGGGCGTGGTCCAGTGGAGTTTCTATCAGGGAGATTTGTGCGGCCGCCGGCTGGTTGTCGTTATCCACCTTTGTTAGATTTTACAATTTGGACGTCCCTGCCTTGCAGGCGCAGATCTTGTCCACTTAAACTACCCATATTTCCCCCCTTGGGTGGAAGGGCTATATCAAGCAGACCTCAGACTGTTCTTGGGTCTCTTTTGTGGCTCAGGCTTACGGGGCCCTCGCTGAGTGTTCCTAAGTTGAGCTCGTAGAGCAGACTTAGTTCTGCATCTGCTCATAGCACGGCGCTACTGGATGCATTCCCCATAGGTCGTCAAGATGATGCAACAAAAGTTACCTTTCGATAGGGAACACTCCGGTTACTCACATAACCTCGGTTCCCTGAGATAATGGAACCGAGCTGTGCTATAAGCTGCACACGAATCGATGGCTGTCACTTCAGTCGAGTGATTCTGATGAGCCGGCTTATATAGCCATTATGCCGGGCTAGAGCGCCATTGGTTTGTGCAGCTACATAAACATGAACAAATCAGGCTTCAGTAACAGAGTAAACAGGAGTTTCCCCATAGGTCGTCAAGACGCGCAACGCTCATTCTTTTATCTCAGGGAACTGAGGTTACGTGAGTAATGGGAGCGTTTTCACGTTAAGATGGAAACCGCAAATAACGTAACTGAGGATACTGGGCCCCTGTGCCAATAATAATATTATGTGTTTGTCATGAAGTGTCTGTCACTAATTTGTTTTGCTGTGAGCGCTGTCATGGTGTATTGTCTTTCTTTAAACACTTTACATTTGTTGGTTTTGTGTGGTAGGAGAGAGTTTCTGTACATTTTGTCCGCTGAAGTGCACAGACTGATTGTATGATGATGCATTTGTAATGAAGATTTGAATTTGACTTAAATTTAGCTGTTTTATTTTGGTGATATCAGTCACTTTCGCCGCGCTGTTTTCTTGTTGCATTTCTGAAAGGTGCACGCTTACTGGATAAGAAGTGCATCGCCGCATCGTCTAGGGCAACTCACACGTATTGCACACCAGACGCGTCACGTTCAGTTCAAGAAGGCAGTGCAAAACATTTTATCCAGACAGTCAAAACTTCACTTCAAGAATGAGCAAGTGGTGTCAATGAGTTTAAAGTTCGGTGACTGAAAAAAATGTAAATGGGATGAGAAATTGCAACCTATAGCTCACTATATGATGCACAAACTTTATTAGAGCTACAGAAAGACAGACGTTCCCGATAACTTTCCTCCGGATTTACAAATGCTTCGTAAACATCAGATTTGATAGTTAAACGTGTATATTAATGAATTCCAATAATTCCTAAATAGGGCGCTCGTGCACACATTCACAATTAGCATAATCCTCACCTATGAATTACAACTAGGCCTACGTAAATTACGTGTCCAGGAACGCAGTGGAATATTCTGGACTCCTTTCTCAGGTTTGGCTCCAGTATATTTCATAAATGCAAAAGAGACTAATAGGCCATATGCCTAACAATAAATATTCAATTAATGCGTGTCCACCATTAGTCCATATGCCTAACAATAAATATTCAATTAACGAGTGTCAACCAAAGCGTTTTTAGCCAGCTGAAAAAAATGTCAGGCGCTCTTCTAAAAATGGCCAGCTGGTGGCGTAGCATTTTTCCAGCTGAGACGCTTTAGTTGCTATGATTTGGAATATTCATGGCAGTAACCTATTACTAGTGTCATTTTGAAGAGTATTACTGAATATGAAAATGCAGTGATATTAACTTCTCCATTGTTGTTCAGTCATTGTACAAGTTGGATGGTTGGTCGGTGTAGTATTTGTTCCACCCCTCCATTGATTGGATGGCTGGGTAAATAGTGACAGTGATGAGCACTGCATTTTACCTAAAGTTGAACAGTTCTCAACTCTCAGCTACAAAAAAAAAAGACACAGCAAACAAACTTGTAAAATATTATTATGGCAGTGCATCAAAATTCAGTGTAATCAGTTTGCCAAAAATAACACAGAACGTTTTACGCGTCATTTACACATGGTGGGGAACAGGTGTACTTCTTTCATACCAACTAACATTTTGAAAATCCAAACATTGTCATGAATTTGAAAGTCAGAAGGGATTTTTATATGCTTTTTACATATTTTTAATGTGAAAATATCCGTTTTACATTAAAACTGAAATGTGACTTTTTTTTCTTAAGACATGTTCAAGAAATGTGTTTTAAAATCAATTGTTCGAAATATTTAATAACCATAAATAGTTTGTGTTTCCTACAATTATTTTAAAATCACAAAGATAAGAGATGCACTCTTTCATTAGAAAAAAATATCCCACCTTTAATAATTGAGCATATTTACAGTACAAACCCTGTAAGTGAATGAGGGCAAAAAAAAAATCATTACTTTATCGTAATTGAGGTAAAATGTTCAAGTAATCAAGATTTTGACTTTAGATAATAACGTCTAGCTCTACTTCATATAGAGAGCTATGATAATATAGATTGCCGTTTCTCTTTTAATTTGTGCTGTTTTTTTTAAGCACCAAACTTTAAATGTATCAATGCCACTTGGATCATTCTTCAAGTGAACTTTTGCCTGTTTGTTAGATGACCGTTTCTAGACCACTGCCTTGAACTGAACATGATGCTTCCGGTATGCAACCTCCGTTAGTGCGATTATAAAATCAGTTTTAGTCTGATGTTTTCAGCGTCTCAGAGCAGCTCCACATGAACTCCATTTCTACATGTTACCTGCATAATGTGCATTTTGGAAATGCAGTATTTTGTTTACATTCACATAATTGTTTTATCTACATAACAATCTATGTTCTTTTTTGCCTGAATGTTTCAGCAGCAGAACTTAAGGCTTTGACTGACAAAAAATGTTTAGCTACCCCCACAGCAAAATCCCCAGTGTTAATTTAACACTCCGAGTGTGGACTCATATGACCACTGAAGCAGTGCTGAAGTAACACTGAAGCAGAGTTAAAGATAATGAGATAATTAGCTGATTAATTAAGTGATGATTGACCAGTATTGAAGACACCTGTTTTTAACAAGCAGAATCACCAAAGGAAAAAAAATCACAATTTCAAGTCACCATTATAGTGGTCAGTGTTTGCATTAGTTGGGATCTTGACCCTTAATTTGCAAACATTAAGTTTTGTTGTAACCGGTGTTATTATAACCAGAGGAAAAGTGATTATGCTTAGAAATAATCATCATGTAGTGATCTGAAAAACTGAGTTAGGTTTTTTTTTTGTATCGTAGATTACGTTAACACTGTGAGCAATATAAGATTTGGCATAATCATACAGAAGTTTTTAAAACTTGCTTTGATCAAAAAAAAAAAAAAAAAAAAAACTTAAGCACACAGACACCAAGAATCACAAAAACAGTGACCATCAAAAAAGCATATTTTGGAAAAATCATAAAAAAGTTTTTAAAACTTGTTTTGAAAAAAAAAAAAAAAAAAAAAAAAACTTAAGCACACAGACATCAAGAATCACAACAACAGTGACCATCAAAAAAGCATTTTGTAGCCAATCAAAACACCATAGCTCATCCATGGCTCCCATCATGCATTGCAGCATATATAAATTATGAGCTGAATTGTCTTTGTAATTTCTTTTATTCTTACTATTTTCTTATTTTTTTGCTGTCTTATGTGACTTTTTAGGTAGCTTGTTTTGTGATGTTCAGAGTTGATCTGTTTATGTGAATATGCTGTTTGTCACCGTTGTTGAGATTCATACGCTGGTTCTTGAGGTCTGTGATTGCCTAAAAATCACACTTTTTCAAAAAATTTTTTTATAGGAACAGTTTGCAATTAATCCTTCCAAAATTGATAGAAAATACAGAACATTTAGAGTTGAATGGCAAGGCTGTTATAATCAATAAATTAAATATAACTCAGATTAATCTCTAAATAAAAGGTTCAAGGTCCCAACTAATACAAACACTAACCACTATAATGGTGACATAAAAAGTAGATTTTTCTCCATTAGTGATTCTGTTTGTTAACATCAGGTGTCTTCAATAATGGTCAATCATCACTTAATTAATCACCTAATTATCTCATTAACTTTAACTCTGCTTCAGTGTTTATATGAGTCCACACTCAAGCCATGTCTACACGTACCAGGTACTTTTATAAACAATTTTTTCTTCTTCGGCTTTAAAAAAAAATCTCTGTCCACATGAAAACACAAATGCATGCTATGAAGCACTGTTAAGAGCATGCCAAACCAACATGTGGTGAAATAATCTCAACCGTAAAGCCATGTTGACCAATCAGAAGCCTGAAAAAGTTTCCAGTAGGCGGGGATAACAGCACAGGCTCCAACGTCACAAGCCAAAAACTCTGGTTTCGCTATCTACATGATAACACTGTAACCAGAGTTTTTGAAAATCTTCACCCTGGCAGGCGTTTTCAAAAATGTTCAGTTTCAGTGACCTGGTGCTGCATTTGCGATTGTACGAACAGCCAAACCGTGTAGAAAATGCTGCGGTTTTAAAAATAACTGTGTTTGTGTGGACAGTGTCTCGGAGTGTTAAATGAACACTCGGGATTTTGCTGGGTCTGTTGTAGAGCATTCTCTCTGATTGCATTTGCATGTTTATGAGTGTGTTCCTAACTGCTGTACTATTCTGTAGGTACTGATAATGATGTTGAGGGGCTGTTGAGGATTTTTCAGGCTCATTCTAGATGTAGAGCATCTTTGGCATTACAAGAATTCAAGTCATACCTCATCATGGGCCCATCCACTGACCTGGTGTTTCATGGTGGACGGTAGGTGCCAGTGTTTTTGCAGGAAAGGATACTTGACAAACCCACTCATAGTTTGTTTGATCTGAAAACTAACAAACATTAAAAAATGTTTTTACTTCTATTTATTATATCTTTATATACAATCAATTGCTACAAAACTGCTTTTGGAAGGTTTCTTTTTAACTACTAAGTGTCCTACTTCCGGTCAGTAAGGAATTCGAATTTTATCAGACGTAAATTTGCAGGTTTTTGAATGATCAAAACTCACAATAATATTGCATCTGAATTATTACACTTTTACTATATATATACCCTTTTAATAAAAAAAAAAAAAAAAAAAAAAAAAAAAAAACGCAGTGATACTGCACCACCGCTGCTATACCAAAAAGAAGTCTTTTAATACAGTCATTTTATCATTTTGTTCTTGTGCTGTAGTAACCAGTGCAGTTATACTGGATATTTACCACACTGTCTGAACAGCCAGATCCAATTACTTGCAAAACAGACAGTCAGTTCTATAGATTTGTAATTTGTTTTGCTACTTTGAATTGATAAAAATATGCCAGACTTGAGTAAAACATTCATTTTTGTAGTTTATACAATTTGGCACTGTACTGGTACTGAAAACACTATTAGTTGTCCATCAAGTGTCTCTTTGTAAATGTCTGGATCAGAATCAGCATAAGCTTTATTGGCCAAGTATGTCTTGAGTGTACAAGGAATTTGTTGCCAGTTTAAAGTGTGCCAACAGTGCACATACAGGTGCATCTCAATAAATTAGAATGTCGTGGAAAAGTTCATTTATTTCAGTAATTCAACTCAAATTGTGAAACTCGTGTATTAAACAAATTAAATGCACACAGACTGAAGTAGTTTAAGTCTTTGGTTCTTTTAATTGTGATGATTTTGGCTCACATTTAACAAAAACCCACCAATTCACTATCTCAATACAAGTTTCACAATTTGACTTGAATTACTGAAATAAATGAACTTTTCCACAACATTCTAATTTATTGAGATGCACCTGTATAACACCACTAAATGACCATGCGACAGTACTCAATGGCCTGTGACAGAAAAGTGACAAATTATACAAATTAAACAAGTAAGAAAGTGACAATATAATGCAGTGGTTGTCCAGTTGTCGGAAGGGGAGAAATCGGCCCAAAATCAGCCCGGTTATCTTATGGTGTGTATACCAGCATAAGTCTGTGGCTGAAGTCAGTTGTAGTTCTTGTGTTTCTCTTTTCTTCAGTGATTCTGCTTGTTAACAGCAGGTGTTCGTCAATAATGCTCAATCAGCACTTAATTAATCACAGAATTGTCTCATTAACTTTAACACTGCTTCAGTGTTACTTTAACACTCTCGAAGAGTGGGACCATATATGCTCTGAGCAGTGTTAATTTAACACAGTATTTTACTGTGTAAAGGAGATACTGAACAAGAAACTGGTATTGCACTTGGGTATGATATTGCACAAAAAAGAAGAGGAAATAGAGGTAGTGTAATAGCAAAAAGTTAGAAAGTCAAGCATGAATTGAGAGTACAGGATGGTGTTCAAAGTCTTTGTAGCTGTCGGGAAAAAAAGCTGTTCTACTCTCTGACGGTTCTTGTTTTGATCAGTTTATGTGATTTTTTTTTTTATACCAATAGATTTCATCTGCTTCATACATTAACAGTGTTGTCTTCATTTTCTGTTGTTTTAGTCTGCAGTATGTTTTGGGAGAGCAGACCTGGGTTGAATACTGGCCTACAAGAGAAGAAAGCCAAACTCCAGAACACAGGGAGCGATACATCGACATCAGTGCACTCGCTAATATGCTTGCTAAAGAAGGATGCGTTAATTATTAGTTTAATTTTTTTCTTTTCTTTTACAGAAACCACCTGCAGTTTAAGACTCTAAATAATTTTTAAACAATGTTATTTTGGCCAAAACTTGTTATTTCATAATTACTGTGACTACATAAAGCCATGGTGTGATATACAGTGTCTTTAAAACTGATTTATTTTCTGAATTACAAAACCATTGTTGATGTAAGGACATTTCTGATTCAAAATATATTCACATTGTTAATCTGAAATATGTCTGTGTAAAAGAAAGCTAAAGATTATTCCAAAGAAATCAGATATAAATTAAAAACATAGACCTAAAGTCAGAGACCAATATGGGATTCACCTGTCTTCTTGTGTTCTGCTTGATCATTTGCTATTGGCTAGTTCATGTGCTCTTATATATATATATATATATATATATGTGTGTGTGTATACATTCAGATTCAGATCCTGGAGTTTCTTTTAATGAGCTAATAGGCTTGTTGGAGATGCGCCTCGCCTTGCCTGAAATGTAGGCGAGAGTAGGCGGCTGCAGTGAGGGGAGGAGTGAAATAAGCGCAGTCGAGACGGACAATTCGGACCTCTCGAAGTGGAACAGATACCTACGAGATCAAAGGCAGATATCATGTTATTCTCACTCGTGTGCTGTGCTGCTGATAAACATGATATAATTTCAGTTCTGTTGCTTTGATATGAAAATAAATATGATGAACAAGACTCAAAGTGCTTGCTATTTAATTCCATACGAAAGGTGTATTTATCATCCATTTTTACTTTAATACAAACATGTAATTTATATTTGTATAGAAATATGACATAATCACATTATCTCACACAGAGATCGCACTGTCATAGTGTTTGGGAACATTCATGCATAATTTAAATACATAATCACATGAAACCAGATAAAAATAAAATATTTTAGAAGAGAACCGCAGCATCACAGTTGTCTGAACCAATGAGCATTAAGCTGTGTCTTCAGTCAGTCGTTTCCCATCATGCTTTTGATCAGCGCAGTCGGTGGAGAGCAACTGCGCTCGACTGCACAATCCGACACAGCCGCCTCGCCGTCGCCAGAGTTTTTTTGCACAGGTCATCATGACATCAGAGCAAGTCGGAGGTAAGTCAGACACTTTTCTAACCGGCATGCATCTCGCGGTGATCACCGATGATCAGTTTTGCGCAGATTTTGCTCATCTCAAACAAACCTAATGAATTGAAGCAGGTGTGTTTGATTAGGGAGACACACAAAATGTGCAGTGTTGGGGGGCGCCTAGGATCAGGGTTGAGAAACACTGTTCTAAATGAATTTTAATAGGCTGAATCACGCAGTGAAAGAATGCACTCTGATGCCCACACACACTAGCTCAGACTTCACGTAATGTACGTGCACACTCTGTACTGGTGTTTTGAATGGTTGTTAGAATGATCACAAATTAAGACATGGGGGCAGAAAATTTATTTATTATATTAATTTTTTCAACAGCTCAATAAACAAGAAGTTCATTAAGTGACTTACGTTTTAGACGCCATATTGCAGTGGTTCTCAAACCTCTCCATGAACTACCCCCAGCACTGCACGTTTTGTATGTCGCAATGACTCACTTATTAACAGTGACTTGCTGCCACCTATTGGCAGTTTTAATTTCACATTTCGACAATTTTTTCGATTTTTTTCATGTTTTAAATCACTTAAATACAGAGGTGGACAATCCAGGGATCAGAAAGTAAAAGTCCTGCCATATGTTTATTCCACCCATGACCCCCTGCCTGCACCTTTTGTATGTCTCCCTTATCTAACACACCTGATTCCACTCATTAGCTCGTTAGTAGAGACTGCAAGAACTGAATCAGGTGTGATAGATGAGGGAGACATACAAAATGTGTAGGGCAGGGGGTACTCCAGGACAGGTTTGAGAACCACTGAATGATGTCACCATCATGGAGATCAGTGTTTGCTTTAGTTGGGCTCTTGACCCTTCCATGTATTTCACAGTGGTTTATTTTTAAGCAATTGCAGTTTTGATTCACAATAGTGATGGGAAGTTTGGCTCAATTTACCGACTTGGACCTTTGAATCTCGTTCAGCAAAATGACCGAAGCTTCTTTGAGTCATTTTGTTCATTTTAACAAAATGAAATTAAAATGTTACGTGTTAGTGTGTTTAGCTGTTTTTGTATGGTGAGATAATCATCATGAGCTGACCTTGTTGCAATCAAAATATCTATTACGTCTGTTGCTAACAAAATGAATGTGAATAGACAGTGTCGATTGCGGCATTAAATTAAGATTTGCTCATGTTGCACCATATTTCATTTTAGGCGTTTTTGCGGTGTTCCGCATTTTAAACAATCACACACAATTCTGTTGAGCTTAGGAATGTAATGGCCAATCAGAGGAGTTCAGATGAGTCATCGTTGAAACAGATCAGTTTTGTTGAGTGCGTGATGCGTTTTGTTGAGTGCGCTGACTGAATACCGGACTCTTGCGAATTCTCTCATAATAAACAACAAAGCACAGATGTATGTACAATGTAAGTAAGAGATTAATTTCACAGTGTATACAGCTTCAGTGATTATAACAATAGTTTTTTTTTTAGCGTGCTTAAACTCAATAGATCAATGTTAGTGATAATGTCACTTTCTATATATAATTTATTCGCTGTTTGAATAACCATGGAAAGGAAACGTTATATAGGCTACTTATCAATTTCTAAAGTTTTTATTAAATTGCAATCACGTTAAATACAAATTCAGTCCCATTAAAAAATTTTTTAGCCTACATAACACCCATGTCTTGTTATTGTCTAAAAAGACGGGTTTATGATGTTTAATACATTTGGATGCTTTTAGCCTTACCCCCCGCTCCCCCCACTGATACGGTCCAACCGGAAGCGCAAAACAGAGAAGTGGAAAATCAGAATAATGAGTCATTTTTTATGTTAGTTCAAAAATCAGATTCGGGCGCAACAACCCAAGCTAGTAAAATTTAAAATTCAAATGAGTGTAAATTATGTTTGTAAATTGCTCCAAATAAATTCAAAATGAAAGTTTGAAGCCAACTTTTCATTTGGTTCATTTTGATGGCCAAATGAAAAGTTGGCTTCAAACTTTCATTTTGAATTTATTTGGAGCAATTTACAAACATAATTTACACTCATTTGAATTTTAAATTTTACTAGCTTGGGTTGTTGCGCCCGAATCTGATTTTTGAACTAACATAAAAAATGACTAATTATTCTGATTTTCCACTTCTCTGTTTTGCGCTCCCAGTTGGACCGTACCAGTAGGGGGAGCGGGGGTGGGGATGTGGATGTAGGGGGACAAAGTAACACTTTTTGACTTTCTCAAATTGTGTAAATCCACATGATTGTTATTTGAACTGTTTGGAAACGCTGAAAAAGTCCTTCAAAGATTTCTTATCCTGTTGCACCCTCTATAGGACCAGCGACTAGTTGATTAGTCAATGTACTACATACATATACAATGTAGGGGAGAGCGGGGCACAAAGTAACACTTTTTGACTTTCTCAAATTGTGTAAATCCACATGAGGTTCAGAGTATCATTTTTTTTAGCCACAGTAATTTCATACTTGTCTAGTACAAATATGTCACTTTGTTTCATAATTACAATGTATACGTTTTTCTTTATTTAACCTCAAAAATTGGAAGTGAAATGTGACAACATGCCCCATAGATTGTGTACATTGTAACAGCTGAGGGGCATGTTGTAACATGACCATATGACAGCTTAAACTGTTATCTGATCGCATGAAAAAAAATATACAAGACAAACTAAAATATTTTGTCAAAATAAAATCATTATTTATTTCAAATAAAATAATGGCGTTTTTTAAGAATTAAAAATAATCTGATTTTGGAGTTTGACAATGAACACATTGCAACCATGCTTGGGACGGCCCATAAACGAGCAACAATGCTTTACATGTCTTGAAATCATAATTTCTTAACATTAAACATTGACTATCAGTATTTATTCTGTTTCTCGTCGTTTATCATTAAAATGTATTAAAGTAAATAGTGTGAATTACATCGCTAATGTCATAGAATAGCACGGCAGGGCACATTGTAACGCAGTGTTACAACATGCCCCATCTGCGCAACTGGAATTTAAAACCGATTACTGTCTTCTGATAGTTAGTGAAGCATTAAAAAATAATCTATACTGATAAATAGCAGATTGTAGATTAAAATAATAGCAGATTTTTCTCATTTTAAATGAGTAATAAAAACTGAGATGAAAAATGTACATAAGCCAGAAATATAATTTTGCTATGGTAAAATAAATGTTCAGCGATATCTTCAACTTTTTAATTTTGGTGCACTTTTTTCTCTATATAATGTTGATATGGTAACTAGTAAATGCTGTAAATTTGGTTATGCTAGCATGTGTATAAATATTTAAACCACGTGTGTTACAACTTACCCCTCGTTACTTTGTGCCCGCGCTCCCCCTATTTACCCAGAGCCCTGTATAGGCCCTATGCCTATGCATTGGCACGTTTGACCATGCAATAATTTATCATCAGACCTCCATTACCTGTGTGACTGCACGTTAACAACCACAGATTGTCTGGAAGATGTGTGAGTGGAGTGTGCTTGATGATTACGAAAGTGTAATCCACAGGTTAGTAGAGGAGCTGGGATACACATGCAAACAAGTTCAAGAGGTCCTACAGCAGCAATATGGACTCTGAAGAGGCTCCAGTATTTCCTCCATTTCTAAATTCCAACTTTCTCAGTTGGTCGCACGAGCACACGATGAGTTGATCAATATTAAATCAAATTACTTTCAATATTAAATCAAAAAACGAATGATCGAATGATACACGGATTGCAAAGGGTTACACGGACCGTTTGTAATAAGTGAAGATGCTGCGATCTAGAGAGATCTGTTAGTGTTCAATGTTCTTTTGGGATTTAAAGGGTTTCTGTTGTCTGTGTTTTGTGGGTCACCGTTGTGCTGAAGAGTAGAGTGTGTGGTTCAGTCCAGGAGAAGATCAAGTGACGTTGATGTTATGCTGTGTGTCACTTTATTTAAAGGCAGTACCCCTGGAGTTGCTGATGCAATGAT